CTCAGACAGAGGAATTGATGCTCTGTTGACCGATAATTTGCTGTTATTGGATTCTAACAGTTATCGCGGACTTGACCATCCGACTCCCATGGACTCCAAACGACTCCAAGGTGGAACTTTGTTTCGCACGTGGGACTCCAGATGGTATACTTGGCCAGGCGGGCCAGGGGCAAGGGATATGCTTGCCCAGCCTTGCTAAGTGCCGACTTGCGAGTTTGGATCAGGTGAAAGGCTTTGATCTGTGAGAATTTAGTTCTGGGACCCCGTTTTATGCCAGATATGCGCCCGATTGAACGACGGTCTTGAGCGGTTGTTATCAACCGCCTTCGATAAGGTCCACCAGAAGTCGGCCGTCTGGGCCCTTGTCTTGCTGGTTGGAGAAAGATAAGTTGCCCGGGTCCGTAGAATGCTTTGTGTAGACCCTATATAAGGAGGCAATCCGACGATCGGCCCAAGTCCGAACGTGGTTTTGGAGGGAAGACTGGCTCAGCACATCATCCCTTGACAAGAGCTCTATTGCACAAACAACCCAGCCATGGGGTTCAAACACTTTTGGGACGAGCATGTAGTGCTCAAACCGCATCCTGGCTCCTTTGGGGCAGATGACCCTGATGCGATCAAATACACCAACGAGGACATGGACCCGATCAAACGAAAAGATCGAACGTATGAGTGGTACCAAATGGGACTGTTTTGGATAGCCGAAGGTTTCAACGCAGCACAACTGGAAGTATCAAGCTCAGCCTTCTCTCTCGGATTGAACCCAGGGCTCTGTGTGGTGGCGTGCTTGATTGGGAACATTATCGTCTCTATTCCCTGCGCTGCGTCCGGATATCTAGGTAGCAAGCTGGGAACAAACTTTCCTGGCACAGTCAGAGCGTCGTTCGGTATGCTAGGGTCCAAATGGGCCATGGTCGTGAGAGGGGTGCCGTGTATCATCTACTACGGCATCCAAGTCAGTCTCGCTGGTCAAGCTGTCCAAGCCTGCACTACAGCCATCTGGCCGTCTTTCGCTCACTGGGAAGTCAACGCAATTCCAGCCTCGGCCAACGTGACGGCGCAACAAATTTTGTGCTTCTCCATCTTCTGGTTGATATCGTTGCCGTTCCTGTACCTGCCGATCAAGACATTGCGATACCTGTTCATTGTCAAGAGTGTTCTGGTGCCTCTTTTCTGGGTGGCCCTGTTCACATGGTCAGTGACTGCTGCGCGCGGTTGGCCTGAAGTTTGGAGAGCACCGAGCAAGCCCCTCGACGGATGGAGCGTGGGCTATCTTTTCGGTATATGCGTCAACGCTGCAATCTCCGGTAACGCTACCTTCGCTGTCAACATCATGGACATATCGCGGCACTCAAAGAACGACAGAGCGGCATGGGCTACCCAGCTATTCGCCTTGCCTGTGCTGGTGACCTTGACCGAATTCCTCGGCTGCACCATGGCAGTGGCCTCGTCAGTTGTATATGGCGAGGTGCAATGGAATCCTTTGGTGGTGATCAACAACTTCGATAATCGGGCTGGGAAGTTCTTTGCGGGTGCCTGCTTCATCTTCTTCAACATCATGACCAACGTCACGGGTAACTCGGTCCCTCTGGCCAACGACTTGACGGGATTGTTCCCCAAGTACATCAACATTCGCCGCGGACAGTTCATCTGTGCGGTGATATCGTTCGCCATCTGTCCATGGGAGATTCAAGCAAAGGCGACCACCTTTTTGGCATTCTTGGGTGCATATACGCTGTTCCTCGGTGCGACAACGGGAGTAATCATGATGGATTATTTCTGGGTCCGCCGCGGATACGGCATCAACATTTCGCATCTCTTCAAACCCCGAGGTATCTATTGGTATAAGTATGGGTGCAATTGGCGGGCATTCGTCGCTTGGTTTGTGGCCATCGCTCCGCTCTTCCCAGGGATGCTATTCTCAATGGGTGTACCGGTTCACAATCGAGGCATTCTCAATATGTACTCGTGGAATTACGTCCTCGTGGTCGTCTTCTCCGGCCTGGTGTATTTCATTTGCACGACCCTCTCGCCCATACCAGTCAGACCGGATGATGGTGAGGAGGACTACGGCAAGTTGTATCTCCTCGACGGGTTGGAGGTAGCAAGTGAGAGCAGGACACCAACCGAGTATACCGACCGGGACATTGAGAAGAGTGAAAAGATCGTTTCCGAGACGCATGTAACTCCGGCGGCAATACAAACAGTAGGATGAATTGTGGAAGGAGGTTGACCACGCATGTATGAAGACAATCAAGACGCTGTAGACGCATATATAGAGAAGACCAAGTTTGCCAAGCCCGTCGTTGCTAAGCTTGGCTGGCACTTAATAATCACGCCAGTATTGCACATTTGGGTGACATTACAGGTCTCGATCAATTACATGTGCTCCAATCTGCCAGCAGTGATCCCGTAATACTTGCCTCCCCATTATGCTGTTCCATATTTGGTCAATTGAGGGGATCCTTCACTCGGCGGTGCACTGAACTTGGTCTGCACATAGACTTTCTGGAGACCCTTCTCACGCGCATCGTACCGCTTGTACACTTCCTCCAACTCTTCCAATAACACACGATGGCTGACCATCTGCAAGACATCCAAGCTACCATCTTGTATCTTTTTGAGGAGATCTTCCCAGTACAAGTGTACGGGAGCTTGGCCGTTGCCGATCAGCCGAATACCACGTTCCATGAGCGACCCGATGTTGAAGTGATTCGTGTAGCCAACATACACGCCTGTGATACCGCAGCGGCCAAAGTTCTTGACGCTCATGATCATCTCGTTGACGATTTCCGAAGTGTCAGTCTCAGCACCAAGGAGCAGCTCGAAGTAATGAGCCCAGCCCTTGGCATACTCGCCCGCCACACATTCAATGGCGACATCGGGACCCTGGTGTTCCATCTTCTTCAGCGTTGAAACAATGTTTTCGCCCTTGGGAAGGTCGGTAAAGTTGATTGTCTCAACCTTGGGGAGCTTGGACTTGACAAAGTCGAGGCGCCATGACGCCTCACCGCCATCAATGATGATCACACGTTTAGCGCCGCACATGAACGACATGGCTGCACACATCTGGCCGATGGGACCGGCGCCCCAGATAGCGACCACATCACCTTCCTTGACTCCCGTGTCGACGACGGCATTCCATGACGTGCTCAACACATCCGAGAGGTAGAGGCCTTTCTCATCAGGCACGTTGTCAGGCAGTTTCAAAAGGTTGGTATCGCCGTAAGCAACACGGACGTATTCTGCTTGCCCACCAGCATAACCACCAGTGAAATGTGAGTAGCCCAGCATGCCCGCCGTGCGACCGCCATACATGATGTTTTCGATCTTGTTGTCATTGGTCTTCTCGCATTGGCTGCTCAATTTCCGTTTGCAGTACATGCAGCTGCCGCATGCGATCTGAAAGCTGCACACCACGCGGTCGCCCGGCTTCACTTTGCTGATTTTCGGGCCCACGCTGTCTACCACGCCACAGAACTCGTGGCCGAGAATATCGCCCTTCTGAAGCTCAACCACCACACCGTGGTAGAGATGCAGATCCGAACCACAGACCGTCGACCCTGTGACTTTGACAATAACGTCCGTGTCTTCAATTTTTGCAGGTTTGAAAGTCTCAACAACTTTTACGCTGTTCTTTCCATTCCACACAAGTGCTTTCATCTTTTCACCAGAAGGGTCCGCATATTTTTCCACATCTTTCGAAGGATTGGTGAGGTTCTGTTCAGTAGTAGCATCGCCTGTATGGCCGATGATCTTTTCAACAACGGCTGCTGCTTGGGAAAGTGCCATGGTGAGGATGTGTGAAGGTTATCTGTGCTAGTCAAATGCTTCTGAGGGCCAAGAACTGTGGTAAGGGACAGGGAGAGGTCTAGAAATGCGCAATTGCTTTGGTTATATGGGTTCCCTCATTACAAGCCGAATTGGGGGACTCGTTCACCGTTGATGTTTTCATCATGACATCACGTACTCAGACGCGCCACCAGCTCATGGGTGCTCGACCCCCGGCTGTGGTCTCCCGACTGGGAGGTCTATGAGATAATAATTTGTCGGAGGATGTTTCCGCTGCAAGCGATCTGGTACTGCGGATAATGATTGTAGAGTTGTGAGGATTTGCTCGAGATCTATCCTTTCAAGCCAGCCATATCGAACTCTTTCGTTCGGGGCATCCACTTCCCGACCCGAGGATCTTCTCAGTGAAAGTCAACTTGAATGTTTCAGGCTGTGGAAGAGTCGCGATCGCGGGCTCGGAGAGTGGGGTGCTGCCATCCATAACGAAGTGTTCGTGTTGGGTGTTCATTTTGTTTATCAGGAAGAGTTTGACATTGGACTCGGCGACCGCAGGCTGTTTCTTGGGGAGGCACGTGATGCTTGTTAGGAGTGATCCTGCAGGGGTTGGAGGGGCAGATGGTGCAGGTACAAGGCTCGGCAGCGACAAACCCGCGTTTTCAGGGCGGCCATGGGGCGAACTGTCAGTGGCTTGGGCTGATGCGGGTCAGTGACAGGCCTACGTAGACATCAACATCCGAGATCCAAGAAATCAACACCTGCGACGAAATACCTACCCAGCAGTAGTCACTCTCATTCTGACGCGACATCCTCATCGTTGGCAAAATATTTCTTTCGCTATCACATTCATCTTATCGACAGCCCATCGATCATCTAGTACGCCAACAGTGCATCGCAATAGAATTCCTGCTAGATCGAGCAACTCACATTCAGCCAGCCCTTTCAATCCGCATCCCACAGGCGTCTTACTGTCTTAGCCCCCCGTTTGCCTGTCCAGGCTTCGATTTCCTCGAGCTCAGCCTCCTCTCACAGTTCATCCCGCCGGAATCGACGCTAGAGGCGATACTTGCCTGAGTCTCAGTTGGTGGAGTTCTCAGAATGTCACCGCCTGGGTGACAGCGGAATCCGAGCACAAGCCGTGATCACCACTCATCCACCCGCGCACTCGAACTTCAGAGAATGAACTTTCAGCGATAACCACAGCAGATAATATGGAGCAAGGAACAGATGCTGCTTCAATAAAACCTGTCTCTTCCCTGAGATCTCACTTCGAGGGTCTTAAAGTCAACCTCCCGCAGCCTGACAACCGTGGCAGCATCCCTGCATCTCCGCAAGCATTGAAACCGATCGACAGGCCCAGTCCACTGCCACCTCAGAGAGCCTCCTTCGATCTATCTCGGCCGACATCGCCATGGGCAGGTGCAGGAGGAGGGCATACCAACTACGCAGGACCACAAACTCCCGTCAAGGGCACCGAATCACCTCCCAAATATGGCCACCGGCGGCCCATGTCCATGCTCCTGCAGTCCTCCCCACAGCTGACTCCGTCTGTCAAGATAGACTCTCCGCAGTCACCTCCGCGCACGTTCTTTGAGCGAAGCTCTTCCAGATCTCCTGAGCGGGTGGACAATACTCCTTTTGGAAAGGTGCGCGAACTCATATCCCAACACTCGAGTCGCTCTTCAACCCCGGCACCTCGAGGGCCTAGTGCAGATCGCTCGGACACGGCGAAGACCCTGGATCCTGCACACTCTGGTACTGAATCGCACGATGAAAAACCGAAAGCCGGTCCTCCTCCGGTCAATCGAGCGGACAAGCCCAAGATTCCTGCCAAGCCATCTGTGATGTCTGTCCCAGCAGGTAATGTGCTGCACCCAGAGGTTCGAAGACCTTCATTCGAAGCCCGAGTATCACCGTTCAGCACACCGCCGAGCAGTGATGAAAACTCTCCAGCGCAAAGTCCAGACATATCGGCCCCATCATCGACCAAACCCTTGGCCCCTGCAACAGTCCCGGCCAAAGTGGCCCAGTCTCAAGTTCCTTCTTCTGAGGCAAATTCTGTGCGCCCAAAGGATGCTCGAATGTTTGGATTCTCAACCACGTCGTCCGTGCCCGAGAGAAAGGACCCTAGGACTTTGGGCTTTACAGCACCTGAGCCACGACCACCAAGTCACGGAGCAACCCTACCGTCAAGAGCTAATACCGTCTCCGAGAAGCCTACTAGAGACCCTCGTGAGATGAGCCTATCAAATGGTAAACCAGCACAGCGCCACGTTTCGGAGACCATGCGACACACACCTCCACCTCCATCACAGGTCGCTCCCGCACAGCCTCCACGGACGAACACCATACGTGATGCTCGTCTGCTTGGCTTTTCTAGTGCCCAGCCTTCGTCAGTGGAAAAGATAGCGGAAGAAGAACCACACCCTAGTCTACCTCCTCGAAGGAACATTGAACCTCCTCCGCGTCCTTCCAATGAGTCGAAGAATACGTCACGGCCTCTACAGCCACCAAGCCATGTGGCGACACCAGACCGTTCCAAAAAGCCTCCGTCTGCCCAGCAACTGTCACGTGCACCCACCTTACCTGTCGACTTACATTTCCCTCCGCCACCGAAGCGTACTAGTGTCGATGAGCGCGTGCTCCATCAGCCAACGTCAACACAGAGGTCCCAGACGTTTGCTGGGGATTTCTCGAGGCGTCCCTTGGCAAACATGAATGCCGAAGACTCCGATGAAGCAGAGGAGCCGCTTGAAGAGCCTACCACCTCTCGATCTGAGTACCCGGATGCCACTCATACCAATCGGCGGCCTCCGTTCAGTAAAAGCAGTCTTTGGGAGATAGGCACGAAGTCGGACTCCCGGCTTGCTGAAGTTTGTGGACAATATTTGTGTACGGCTGGCTATGTGACTCGTGTATTTGATATGTCTTCAGGAGAGCAGATCATGAGCATTAACCACGGCGAGACAGTCAAGGTGACGGCTGTGGCCTTCAAGCCTGCAGTAGATCTCGCAAACGAGGGAACAAGACTATGGCTAGGTTTGAATACTGGCGAGTTGATGGAGGTCGATGTTGCGACACATACCGTGATGACAACCAATTCGTCACACAATCGTCGAGAGATTGTGCGCATACTCCGGAACCGAAGGGACTTGTGGACAATCGATGACGATGGGAAACTTTTTGTGTGGAAGGCCGATGAGACAGGTGTCCCCAATCTCAAATACAGCCATATTTCCCACAAAGTTCCACGGGGACATACGTTCTCCCTGGCAATTGATGGCAAACTCTGGTATGCTTCAGGGAAGGAAATACGAATATACAAACCAGGAAATGAAAGCTCATTTGCTGCCTTGACATCACCATTATCGCAACATGGGAACGGGGACGTCACCTGCGGAACATACTCGAACGAAGATAAAGGAAGAGCATATTTCGGCCACATTGATGGGCGAGTGTCGATATACTCGACCAAGGACTATTCCACTATCGCCAACGTCAAAGCCAGCGACTACAAAATTAACAGCCTGGCTTTTGTGGGAGGCCAATTATGGGCTGCATTTAAAACAGGAATGGTCTATGTCTATGACACTTCCAGCTCGCCCTGGAAGACCCAGAAGGATTGGAAAGCGCACGACGGACCCGTTACTCAACTCCTCTTCGATCCAAGCAGTGTTTGGACCCTTCAACAATTGCAAGTTGTCACGATCGGACATGACAATTTTGTAAGGCTTTGGGACGCTGCCCTCGAAGACGATTGGATCGAAATGGAGATGCAGCGCCGCAGTAGCGAATATTGCAAATTTCGAGACGTCCGAGCCGCTGTTGTCACCTGGAATGTCGGTGCGTCGACGCCTTCCAATCTCCGCGACGATTTCATTATGGAAGCAATCCACGCACACGATCCACCGGAGATCCTGGTATTTGGGTTTCAAGAAGTAGTTGATCTGGAGGATCGTGCTGTAACTGCAAAGAGCATTTTTGGATTCGGCAAGAAGAAGGATACCGTCAAGACAGAACAACACCAGAGTCGTGTCTATCGCGAGTGGCGAGACTATCTCAGCAAAGTCATTAGCCGGTCCACCAGCAGACACTATGAATACTCGGAACTTCATCTCTCCAGCTTGATCGGGCTATTCCAGTGCGTGTTTGTCAGGCAAAGCGAGCGGCCAAACATCCGAAACCTCCAAGCTGCGAGTGTCAAGCTCGGGCTGAAAGGCCGCTATGGTAACAAAGGAGCGCTCGTGACCCGTTTCATATTGGACGACAGCTCTGTATGCTTCATCAATTGCCACCTTGCAGCTGGCCAGACTCACACGTCACATCGGAACAACGACGTCGCAGCCATCTTAGAAGCCGAAGCTCTGGATGCAGAACGTGACCCTGAGGTGCGCAGTTCGATTTATATTGGAGGCGGTGACGGAACACAAATTCTTGACCATGAAATATGCATTCTGAACGGTGACTTGAATTACCGCATAGATGCCATCCCGCGAGACGCTGTCATCAACATGATCAAGCGCAACGAACTGGATACACTTCTGAAAAAGGACCAGATTATGCTTTCGCGTCGGCGTGTCTCAGGGTTCCGTTTGGCCCAGTTCGTCGAGTTACCTATCACTTTTGCACCCACATACAAATACGACGTGGGAACCGATGACTACGACACCTCGGAGAAGAAGCGCGCGCCAGCATGGTGTGATCGACTCCTCTATCGTGGTCCAGGACGGATAGAGCAGCTGGAATATCGCCGCCATGAGGTGCGAACGAGCGATCATCGGCCTGTCAGTGGTGTCTTTAAACTCACGGTGAAGACAATCGATGCGGTAAAACGGACCAAAGTCAAGGAAGATTGCTTTGAGAAATTCACCGAGGTACGCAGGAGGATGGCGGAAAAGGCGAGCGTCGAGTACTTGGTTACCGTGTTGGGCGTCGCCGAACAGGAAGCTAAGCGGCTCATAACAGCCAGATGAAGTGATGATTGATGCTAGTATTCGATATGAAAAAGTGGCATAGTGACGGGCGCTGCAAGCAAAGGAATCTAACGGTTCGATTAGAAGAACCGGGGAAGAACGGGATATCAACTGGGCTCACCATGTCTGTTGGCTTTGCGGGCGACATTAGGAACGGGTTGTCGCCATATGTGAGCCCCTTGTATAATGGGACATGGACACCCTGCGTCATCTGGGCGGATTGGAAACGCCGTCATGTATCTACAAAATGAAGACCACCTACCTATTAGACAGCGGGACATTGAGTTCAGTTCCAGTGGTTCGACGCTGCAGACACCACCTACTGCACTTGGTACGAGTAGATGGCTCTTCTTGCCACGTTCTTGGACCTCTTAACGGCTCAGGATCAAGACGTGATTTGTCACGAGAATCTTGTTACAATCTCGGCGAATGTTGCTTGGTTCGTAGGTGACTGACTGCGCCTCATTCACGAACATCATCCCCCCGCCATCGTCGCCCACCAACCAACCTGCGCCCCTCATCGAGATTCTCTCATCCGCGTCTTCCATTTGCCGCTCATTATCGAACAACCTCCATCCATATTTCACTCCATCTGGTACCTTCCTCTTTCCTCCTTTTTCTTCCATCTCTGTATCTTTTGTTGCGCCGACATCGTCTCTTCTCCCGATGACGGATTTCGCTCCGCCTACTGGACCGCCTCCTCCGAAGGTGCCGGAAGGGTGGAAGGCTGTCTTCAACGATCAATACAAAGAATGGTATGAAGCCTTGTGACACCGAGTAATCTACTGCTCGTCTTAATCGTTTATCCTATGTTTTCCCCTATGACGAAGCTCCGCTGACATTGCTCGGTTGGCCTCAGGTTCTACGTCAATCTCCACACCAAACAATCGACGTGGGAGAAACCTACTGCGCCGGCCGTGCCTGCAAACGATGACGCTCCGCCTGGGGCGCCTCCACCGTCCTACTCCGCCGGTCGGGATGCCCCCCAAGTGTCCGATGCAAAGCGCCCGCTAGAGTCGAACAATCCATACAACAACACGAGCAGTCCGGCCACGGGCTCGCGCGAAACGGACGAAGAGTTGGCTCGACGTCTTCAAAGTGAAGAGAACACCCGCGGCGCCGCCGACACATACTATAACTCCAGCGGTTCCGGTGGCCCCAATCCTCCTGGCATCCAAGGCAATTACCCCGGCGCTCCGACCTCGCCCTCGAACCAGCTGCCTCCGCGACCAGAGAGCGCCGGCAAATCCAAGGGTTTCTTTGGCAAGTTGCTGGGAAAGTCGAGCAGCAGCAGCAGCAGCCCCTCACCCTATCCGCAACAGCCACGTCCCGGCTCTGGATACCCTCCCCAGCCAGTAGGTTACAACCCAGGCTACTCACCCGGTCCAGGGTATGGTCCTCCTCCCGGTGCCGGATACGGCGGGTATGGACCACCGCAGGGCTATGGGGGATACGGACCACCTGGTCCCGGCTACGGCCCTGGTCCGGGATATGGCGGTTATCCAGGATACGCGCAAGCTCCACCTAGAAGGTCTGGTGGTCTCGGCGCCGGAGGAGCAGCGGCTCTGGGTCTCGGAGGTGGTCTGCTTGGTGGTGCATTGTTGGCTGATGCCTTTAACGATGGCCAGCAGGATGCCTATCAGGAAGGCTACCAGGACGGAGCTGATGGCGGCGGTGGAGACTTTGACGGTGGTGGGGATTTCTAAAAGGTCAGAAGCAGATGTTGTGCAGGGACCAGTGGCAAGAGGGTATGGCTGGACCTTTGCTCGAGTATCACACGCACTTGAAGGGCGAGCTGTTCTCGGAAGCGAGTGCAGTCAGGGATGAAGGGCTCCATAGGTGAAAGAATGAATTTCTCAAGGCAGGCATGCAACACATGGAAGCAGCCTAGATCTGAAAGAAGAACACAATGTCATGTCAAAAATTAACTGTCGAATTAGAGTCATGGCAGAGGCCAGCCACGTCCTTGGATGACCGAACCATAAGACCACAAGACCACATTAATCACGCGCAATACGTACATGTATCCCAAGGGGTTTGACAACTATTGGACCATTGAACCGCAGCGCGAGAAAGAAGAGAACGAAGGTGAGGAGGCAAGCGAAGCAAAGCCTGATTGCGACTGGCATCACTCAGCCTTGGCCACCGACGAACAAATCTCGCGTCGCTCGCGTAGCTATCTGTTTCTCTCTCTCTCTCTCATATGCGGAATAAAATCCGACTTACCACCATCCCGAACTCCGCAAACTAAGCATTTCAGATCTGACAAGCGATCAAAGTCTTTGTCGTCACATACCACCACCTCCCTTCATCAGAGGAGGGATAGTCCTCAAGGATACCTAATGCGCAGCGCAGCAGGTATAACAAGTCAAACTCCTCCTTCCTAAGCCTTTGGCTGTCTGCCGTCGCGGTCATAAGTCAACCAGTGATCCGTGCTCCTCGCCGTGGTAACCACTCATAGTCCCAGGCACTGTTCTCAGAAGCAATCTCGAGCCAGGCCACGAAGCTTTAGGCATGTACAGCAGCGATGCAGCTCGTCAAGTCTTTCGGGGTCTGCGTTGACAGGCAAGAGGCTGTAGCCCAACTATTTTGGACGTCGTTTCCCGAACCTCTAAGGCCCATCCTGCTCTGCCGTTTGTTTTGTATCTGGAAGATGTGGCATTGGCTCAGTATGACAGTATCTCTCTTACATGCCTTTCAAGCTGGCACATCAGAGGTTGGCCAAAGACTGCGAAGGAACGTTTCGTGTCCTGAGACTTGAGGCTACTACCACCACAGCTTCATCAGCGTAGTCAAAATCGTCAGGATACACGCAGTCATGCCATCAAAATGTGCACGACACTCACGTCGCTCGACCTTTTGAAATTGTCTGTGGCAGAGGTTTCTGTCTCACAAGCAGAACGAACACTCCTGTCCAGTTCTTGATTTCCCAAGGAAAAGGATCCGATTGAAGGAGTGCTTCTGCTGACCTTGATACTCAGGCTATACCCTTGACGGCCGTGAGCTCCACCAGCTACGAGTCCATTCTTTCAGCCTTGAGATGCCACAGCGCTTCTGGTGGTCCTCAAGTCACGCTAGGTGGTCGAGCCCGATATTCCCGCCGACAGCGCTAGGGACCTCGTGAACTAGAATCAAAAGGACAATACATTTCAAATCACGACTCATGGATTTCTTCCACAGATACCCATGATGCCCTAAACGGGACATATGCAGGGTATTTCTCACCGCTTGTTGCGAGCTCAGTGAACCCCTACTCGTACGTTTGAAATGGGTTCTTACATCGCAACGTTGAACTCCAAGCGGCCGCCCAAGGCCGTGTGAAGAAAGCAACCCTTACCCTTCGAGGCAACAATATCGAACTCCCCCACACATCGCGCTTTTCTGAAGGAGGAAAAAGCCCAAGTTTCCCTTTCAGGAAGGGGGGCTACCTCAACCGACGGGGAATCTTTACCTGAGCCCTTGATGAAAAGGGATCGCCCACCCCCAGAAGAAGCCCGAGAAAATCCTTCTGATCCCCGAAAGTCAGTCAGTCAGTCCACCACTTTCTCAGCTGAGGAAATCCCATGCGGAGGGATTCCTGGACCCGAAGGCCCTCGGGGTTTGCCATTGGCAGGCGAGGCGAGGCGTTGATGAGGGCTGACTCAGAAGTTTGACGACCTGTGGACCTCGCGGCTCTTTCCTTCCCCCCTTTGCGAAGTGGATGAATACACTTGCGGTATAGCCTTCTTTCCTCCAATGCGACTCGTGTGTACTTGTGCTTGAAATCGACTTTCTGCTGTCGACTCGGTGCCTTGTCGTGTTGGTGATGGGGCATCTGAGGAGTTGTCCAAAAAAAAAAGGGGGGGGGGGGGGGGGGGGCTGTGGAGACGGTGATTGGATCTGTTTTTTAATTGTCAGATGGGTCTACTACACAAGTACATAGGTACGAGTTATTGACCGAAAAGGGGGTGTGGGAGGCGCGCCGACTCGAAACGGGTATGTGCATCGGTATACCGAGGAATACCAGGCAAGACAGGCATTATCCAGACAAGAAAGCCAGAGAAATCAAGAGTCGTGACCACAACTGGAACACCCATCCTGCATCGCCGTGCAAAGTGCCTCGTTGTACGGAGTATGTACACAATCCATCTTTGGTGATGAATCCCCCCCTCCCTTTTGGCCTCTGAAGCACTCAGCCTGATACCAAGTACATGATGTCTGAGGTGAGGAGAGGAGAGGAGAAACCTGGGGGGCCTTGGGGTTTGGGAGTAGTCGCTTGACAGATAGACAATCGAGTTGTTCTCTTCTCTTCTCTCATCCATCTCTTCATCGGTGGGTATGGGGTATACGTAAACACTCGTAAGATCAGGATTTCGACCTTGTTTGATTTGTGATTGTTACCGTTCTGCCCGAGCAGGGTGTAATACTAGTACTGGTACGGGTACGGGTACGAGTACAAGTACAAGTATGAGGGAATAATAGGGAGGGACGTAGTCATCAATGGTGAATCATGAATCATGATGGATTTATGGATGACTTACTACGGGGACGCTACTGTCCTGTTGCTCTTGATTTTGGTCTCAGCCTCGTCGCGTCGTGTTGGCTTTTCAGGCATGTACCAAATAATCGGGCAAGATACTAAGCGTAGGTATTACGATTACCAGTACCTACTGTAGGTACGGATGTACAGGTCAGAGCCCCATGGGATGGGATGGGATGCTGTGTGAGATATGCATACAAATCCATACATACATACATACGTACTTACTTACCTACAGGAGGTACTTGCCTGGGTACCTCCACATGCGGAGCAATGCTCAAAAGCGACGGGGATTCGAAAGAGGAAACCCGGGATGAATGACCCAGACCCAGGAAAGGGGATATTTGCCATGTTCATGTCCCAAGTAGCCCAAGTCATATCGAGGTGTTCGTTTCGTAGACAGGACGTATATAGATACCGAGTATACGTAACATGTGCAGGTACAGCATGTCATGTATATGGTGAGACGGACGAGATACGTACGAGTAAGAGTACGAGTAAGGAGTGCATTCAGACCGTTGCCACACTGGACCTGGACCGGGACCGGGACCTGGTAAGCTGGACTGTTGCCGACATCCGAACACGATTCGGGACAGCTGTTGTTCTCTTTGTTGCTCGTAATCTCTCATTCCCTAATGCCTGGATATCATGTCAGCGATGAAAATGTGGCGTACTGTCCTGTGCTATCGTGACTGTACTCGGTATACATGTGCGAATACTGTATGTGAATAAGTATGTATGAAGGCATCCTGTCTATCCTCGATCATGTCTGAGTCCCAACTCTTGCCCACTGTAAAGACACTCATTGGCGCCTTCTCAGCCATCTCTAGCCCTTTTGTCCTGTGCATATCACATTTCAGGGTTTCAATACCAAATGCAGCCGGATACGAAACGTTACCGACACTCTTCGTTAGTAAGGCCACCCATTCCCCTGCCTGGAGGACCTCAAGCAGTATGCCGCGCGTTTGCTGGTTTCTAAGCATGTGAGAGAAAAGAAAAGGGAGATGCTTCGGCTGGTGCTCAAACTTTGCATCGCCCATCGCGCAGCATCCTCCTAATACAATGGCATAGTCCCGGAGGTGGCCTGGAGTGCCTTCTCCATAATCTCGAGGCCCTGGTCGAGCTGCTCCTTGGTGATGACAATGGGCGGCGCAATCCTAAACACCCCACCAAAGCTCGAGTGGCTGCTCAGATTAGCCCAGAGACCCAGCTCGTACATCTTGGACGAGATATTTCGGGCCAATTCGACCGATGGGGACTTGGATTCACGGTCACCCACGATTTCGACACCGGCCATGAGCCCGCGACCGCGTACGTCGCCGATGCACCCGTACCGAGACTTGAGGCGCTGAAGGCCAGCCTGAAGGTGGAGGCCCATGGCACGTGAATTGGCGACGAGGTTATCCCGCAGAACAATTTCGAGAACCTTGTCACCCACGGCCGCTGGCAGCGGGTCGTTAACGTGCGTGGTGTAGAAGCAGTAGTCACGCTCGGCGCACACTCGCTCAATCTCGGAGCTCATGACCACAGCACTCAGGGGGAGGCCATTGCCCAGTGTCTTGCTAAGTGTCAGGATATCCGGGACGACACCTTCATGATCAATAGCGAACAGGTCCCCACAGCGACCGACACCTGTTTGAGCCTCGTCCACAATAAGCAGCATGCCCCGCTTCTCGCAGTGCTTCTTAAGCGCTTTCAAGTACCCGTCCGGGAGCACGTGCATGCCCGCCGACGATTGGATGCACTCGACGATGCAGGCCGCTAGGGAGCCACACGAGGCCCGGTCAATCAGGTCCCAGCCGTAGTTGAGTTCGGTTTCCCAATCGTAGGAGCCGTCCGAATTGCGGAAGATGGAGCGGTAAGCATTAGGGGGAGGGAGCATATGCATACCTGGCATCAAGGGTCCCTGGCCCTTGCGGCCAAAGTGGTACTGAGTGCCTAGCGCCTGTGCGGTGACGCCATGCCAGCTCGCGCCTAGGCCAACAATCTCAAACTTGCCCGTGTAGACTTTGGCCATCTTGATGGCTGCTTCGTTGGACTCGCCGCCTGTGGAGAGGAAGAAGGCTTTGTCTAACCCCTTAGGCAGGACCGACGTGAGCCGTTGAGCCAGGTTGATGACTGGGGGCGACAGCATGCCGGAGAATAAATGGTCCAGGTTGGCGGCGTGGTCGTGGATCGTGGAGACAATCTCTGGATGACCATGCCCCACAAGACAGGACATCTGGCCCGACGTCCAGTCCATGACTCGGTGACCGCGGGCAGTATAGACATACAGTCCCTTGCTGCCTGTAATGATGTCCTTCTCGAATTTGGTGCCATAATTGGCCAAGTACGCCTTCGCCGAGCTCTGGAGTTCGTCTTCGTTGACGTCGGTGTATATATTGGGTTTATCCCCAGATTTGACGGAGAAGGAGTTATTGGAGGGTGGCTGCACTCTGTCCTCGATCATAGGAGCCATGTTTTCCTATAAAGTACTTTGCAAGCACTCCACGGCGGCAAAGACTGACAAAGACTGCAGGAAATGGGGGGCAGGCCAAGTTTCACTGGAGATCATGGGACCTGTAGTCATACACGCCTCTCTCGACTGGGAAATTTGCAACAGGTAACAAGGGATTGATATACACCAGACACTTTGGGTCTGCCGACGGGAAACTCGCAGCGTTTGTGGTTTGGCCAGGGGTTCGACTTTACCCGGAGGAGGAGAAGAAGACGGGAAATGCGAGAGGTTATTGGGTGTATGACATCTCTCCACCGCGAAACTCTGCCTCTCATTTGACCAAATATATTGCCTCTGCGGGGCTGGAGTTGACGGTGTGAACAAGTCTGATGAGTGGTTTCGTCGCCGACAGGTCGACCACAGGGGCACGATAGGCGAATTCATAATGTCAAAGTAGCATTGACCACTGGCGGGAACGGAAAGGATCGAGCTCGGGTGGTCATTTGCAATCATGAGGCGCCATTAGCCAAGAGAGGGGCGGAAACCTGTACCCAACTTGAGGTTTCGCGCAGGACAGGATGGCCTTGTTGAGGAGGGGGGATGATGTAGGACGGAGGAGGAGAGGCGCACCCACCATGGCTGGATATATGACCAGACGCATAGTCACTGGTGACTGCGGCCAGATGTTGTCTCTGCCCTCGAGAATGCGAAGCAGCCCAAGGCACGACTAGTTGTTTGTTGAAGAGTGTTGAGTTCCGTTCGGTCAGCACCATGGCCCAGATCAAGTCTAGCAGCTCCAGCGGCTCCATCACCGGCGGCGCAGGAGGAGCAAACAAGCGCAAGGCCGAGTCACGTGCATATGCGGCACGTGACCGGCCCGCAACGTCCCTTGCTGCCTCGCCTCGACCTCCATCTTCAGACACAACAGCAACGGAGACACCAACCGAGTCCACCTCGCCTTCTCCCACCACGAGCCCCTTGGCCCCTGGCACTTCGTCAATAGCAATCCTGCCACCGGCTGAGGCTTTTTCCCAGGACAACACCAACCATCCGTCCAGCACCATGAAGACCGCCCGTCCCTATCGCTCCCACAAATATCCAGCTTGTGCCCGGTGTCACAAACGGCGGTCTCGATGCACTATCGAAATTCCGGGACAGGCCTGCTTGCTATGTCGCATGCACGGTGTACCCTGCTCTTCCGCCACCGCCAAAACGGATGAGCGTGTCACGCCCAAGGTTGGCTTCGTCCATCGTTCTTTGATTACCGACGATAAGTCTATGGAAGGATTTTCTCACATTGTCGGTCCGGTTATTGCACGCGACACCCAGATTCTCGACCAATACTTACCTCAAGCAAACGGGACTTCTGGTCATGTTCCTATCCAGCCGAGCCTCGGGAGACGAGAGTCGCAAAAAGCAATTTATCATGTGCCTATCCCGCCCAGGAGACCCAGTCCAACAGACTGCACTTGTGCCAGGAATATGCCAGCCGAACTGCTTGAGCAAGTGGATCCTTTCCTCGACAAACTGTTGGCCAACTATTTTGAACATTTTCATCCCTGCTATCCGGTCACCGACGAAGAATGTGTCATGTCCCGACTGAAGGACAGAAGTCAGCTGCCCCAGACGTTCTTCGTCAACATAATAGCCTACGCCCTGTTCTACTGGGATACTTCACCCGCACTGGCGGGGTATGCCCGACCCGACCAGGACTTTGCCTGGCAGACGGCAGTCGCCGCAAATATCGCCGACATGCAAAAAGGCGATCTGGCTACCATCGTGTCAACTTGCATCGACATCTCTGGGCGGCCCTCACGGTGCTTGGTAAAAAATGTGGCCGATGTTGCGCGGGCGGTCGCCTTGTCGCATGCAATTGGTCTCAATCACGACTGTAGTGAGTGGAAGATTGGTGAGATGGAGAAGAAACTTCGGTGGAAGGCTTGGTGGGGAGTGGTGATACAGGATCGATGGTTCAATTTTGCTCAAGGAACGCCGCCCTATATCTCAAAGGGCCATTATGACGTCCCACTACCAACGGTGGAGTTGCTCACTCAGGGGAGAGGCGGATCTGTGAAACACGTTCGCGCAGCTGAAGTCTACATTCATCTGTGTCGATTGACAGAAATTGTCGGGGATGTCCTTCCCCTCATCTACCATATACGGTCTGGAAATGACAGCATTGCTGCAGAGCAAACCTCGAGGTCAGAGATTGAACTTAACCGCTGGATGGAAAGCCGGCCCAGCTGGCTGAATCTGAACGATTTCAACAATCGACCGCCTGTGCCTGGCTTGGTCAATCTGCAGCTCTCATATCTCTCTGTGCGCATGCTCCTACGACGCATTGCGTGGCATGAGATTAGCCAACGAGAAAGCGATCCGGCGTCATCATGGCTTCTTGGTTGCCAGGCTGCTGCAGAGGATATCGTGCGGTTCGTTGGTTCGTTGCACAAGCAGGACTTGATGGGCTTTTGGCTACCCTACAATGCTCATCATTTCACGTCCGCAGTGACTCTGCTTCTCCGGTGTGCGCTTCAGACAAGCTACTCGAATGTCCGAACACAGTGCATGGGAAGTGCCCGGACACTCGTGGACTGTTTGAGGGGCTTCCAAGAGGAGCATCAATGGGATCTGGCAGAGACGGCATTATCGCAGAGTGAGACCGTGCTGAAGCGTATCGAGGACGCACTGCCCAAAGCACCGATTGTCGGAACTCCCCACTTGCCTACTGTATCGATGCGCGCCGAACCAACCGACACGCGTGGCTTCATGGACGAGAACATGCTTGGTGATCCACTACCCGAGGATGCGTTCATTTCGCAACAAGGTCAAGGCTCAATTGAGGAGCTTTTCCCCGAGATCTTCTCGGATTTTACGGATACCGCATTGTTCGCCAGCTCGACCCACAATGAATACGCCGAATGAGACCTGATACGTCTGGATATCAAACAATCACTTGAGACACGTGTCGGGAATACTGCGCACGAAAGGAAGTCTCTTTCCTTTTTGTACCAACCGACATCTTGAGACCAAGAGAGGTGCATAGCGGTGACTCCAGTGGCTGACCTCACTCCGACTCAATGAACTCCGGTGGCTGACCTCAGTCTGACTCTCAATGAACTTACATGGGTTTCGTCAGGCCAATTCAAGCAGCGCTGCCACAAGGAGATAGTGTAGCACCTCTCAAGCGGCACACGGATGACCGAGCATTACCGAGAGCAAAAATGGGTCAAACAGGAAGACAACGTTCTTCCGGAGACATTCTCACAGACACTGAAACACTGCCTGCAGATGTCCCAGTGCCATTCATCCAAGCTTACCAGGGGGCGATTGTGTGGACTTCCTCATCCCTCGTCGCTCTTGGGCATATCGAAAGCGAACTTGCTAGCGAAGACGGAGACGATGCTGTTGTCTTGAAAGCAGGGCTAGAAACCGAGCGATGCGGATTCAGCGTTGACATCGCTATGATATCGATGTGGAGAATCCATTGCCATTTCACGATCTACATGACTTACAATCCGCCTGGTCTTTTTTTATGTGTGTATAAGGTCATCTCGTGGATGGGCGAAGTCGGATGTCCCGGCGAGGTACTCGCAGGGGTAACAACTAGGATATTATATAGCGAGGCAAAAACATGACAGGGACAGGGACAGGGATGGCATAGTATAGCATATCATACCATGGATATAGGTAGGTACGTATGATTACATCACATGTGTTCTCATATGGTATGATATGAGCATGGCAGAGCATATGAGAACACGGGAAAATGGGATACAAAAAAGGCCTTGGTCACGGTTCATGGTTCATGGTTCCTGATGTCGGTCGCATGGATTCTCTATCTCTCTACCTCAGTGTATGTGTATCTGTGGATGTGTGTGCCGCCATTTGCCTACTTCATCATCCATCGTCCGTCATCCGCAATCCATCGTCTCAGGGGCCAAATCGAGCTCAGTCCAGCCACAGCCAACCGAGTCGAGTGGAGTCGAGTCGCGGTATAGCTATAATACAACACAGTACAGCGTGGCATAGCGCGGCGCGGGACGGTATCGCACGGCATAGCGCGGCGCAGGACAGGACAGCACAGCACAGTACGCGGTAAGCAGCACAACACAGCACGCAGTAAGTACATGTGGAACTGAAGAGCTAACGAGCAAGGGGCAAGGGATAAGGGATAAGGGAACAAGAGAAAGTAAACAGTCCTGTCTGATTGAACCATGCAATACATACTTCCATACTGGAAATCAATCAAAGAATTCAGTATTCAGTACCCAACACCCAGTATCTGTTACCTAGTACCCTTTCCCCCCTGCGAAATCCATCCCATCACAAGGACAACTTACAACTAAACTCATGACTTGAGCTTGATACTCCTCTTATTCGGGTCCAGATCGTCGCCGCTGACGCCGTGGCCGTAGGCGACCCTCTCCAGCTCATCAAAAAGCCTCGTCACGGTCGGATTCAAAAAGGGCAAAATGCTCGTGCAGATCATGCCGGCGATCCCGGTCGCCGGGTCGACCCAGTAGTACAAGTTCCCGAGGCCGGCCCACGCGCCCGACCCGGCTTTGCGACCGTAGGGTAGGTCTTCGTGGTTGATGAGCAGACCGGCAGACCAGCCCCGTTTCTCGACCGGCATGGACGGTAGGAACGTACCCTCGAGCGAGGCTTGCGGGACGCTGGTGCCGACTTCGCCCACGCCAGACCGGTCGACTTCTGGACCAAGGATGTCCTTGAAAAGAAGGCCTTTGACCGTGTCGGGTTTCAGGATCGAGTTGCCCGTAGTGGGCGATGTGCCGTCGTTTAGCAAAGTCACCAGTAGTTTCGCGTAATCGTTCATCGTCGTGTAGAGAAACCCTCCACCTCCCCAGAGAGGGGGATTTTCGTTGTGCTTCGCATCCGGGACCCCTACAAGCCCGTCGGGTGCGTCGAAATGGACCAGCAAAAACTTCTTCCCTGGTGGAATCTTGCCGCTTGAGTTGTGCATGCCTAGGGGCTTGCAGATGTGTTCCTCGAAATAATCTGGAAGAGGTTGGCCCGACACTTCCTGGACAACGAAACCAAGCCAGTCGATGCCGATACCATACACGTATTTGGTGCCTGGGTCGGCCAGCAGCGGAGTTTCATAATCTTCCCATTCAGCGGTTGCGTGGTACTGCATGGGAGGGCGGCCGGTAGCCACGCGGTATGCCAGTGTTCCGTGATCGAAGAAGTCGTACGAGAGGCCAGATGTGTGGGTCAGGAGATGCTGAATGGTAGGTTTTGACGCTGGTGAGCGCAAGACGGGTACGGGTTTGCCATCTGCGTCCGTCTTAACAGACTCAAGCACCTCCAGCTTCGAGATTCGAGGCACAAATTTCTCCACCGGATCTGAGAGGGAGAGTTTCCCTTGTTCGAGCAGTTGTAAGGTGGCAATCACGGTGAGAAGTTTGGTGCATGAATAGAATGTCACCAGGGTGTCTGCGTCGAATGGAGCCGCGTCGGGATCTTGAAGATGAGAGCTTCCCAAGGTCTCCTTGAGCAAGTAATTACCCTTGGAGTCGACGATGAAGCACCCGATCCCTGGTACCTTCTTGTCCTTGACAGCAGCTTCCAATAATGGTCTCAGTTGGGCTTCCATGGTTTGCCTAGGATTATCGCCAGTGCCTTTGATCGGTGACGAGGAAGATGTCAGAGGAAAGCGAGCTCACGAAAAGCGCTTCTGCGGCTCGTTGGATGTCGGTAGTTATAACAACTGAGCATTCGCAAGAAGCGCCAATGGAAGCGAGAACGAGGTTAGGGCCGGGGAGGAACCGAAGAAATGAGGAGAAGCGAGGGGTAGTGGAAGAATGGAACGAGACAGTTGCAACGGCGGGACGGCCTTCGTATTTTATTTCCTAGACCTGGAGCACCCCGGATATTCCAAATGTCCAAAAAGTCAGCCAGAAGTCTGACATCTTGGCCGTAGGGGCGGTAAGGAGGATGTCGGTGCGTGCTGCAACGAGGTACAGGATCCTGTCCGTCAGACTCTGCTTGAACTCCCCAAGTCGAAGGATCTGTTCGGTTAGACACCCGGAGTGATGGCTGCGAGATGTCAAAATATGAGAAATCATTAGACGTTGTCGACAGTGGGTCGTGAAAAGGATTTGATACGTCCAGTGAGTGGGCTTCTTGGGGTGGTTCATGAGGCGCGACATGCGTGCTTAAAGACCCAAGATGGAAGTAACAGTACTGGACGACATATGCCTTTCCAGATTTAGTGCTTGATAGTGGCAGTCGCCTCCTTGGTTGGATTGGACCTAGGCAAGTGCTGATCGTCAAGTAGTTCCCAATCATATTTCGCGATCTGTTAACACAATCCTTCCCGAGCTGTCACTTGCAGTGTGCTGCGGGATAGTTGGTCGTCAGCCGGGGCACACTCTGGCGCATTGACTAGGCTAATCTGGCCGTGTATGGGTCGCTATCGCTGCACCACTGCCTGATATTACTGTTCGAGAGCGACATGTCTGTACACACTGTCGTAGGAGGGATCAGGCCTAGGGTCGCATTGGCGGGGTCGTACTGGGTACGGTGGGGAGAGCCACAGGGACCCTTGTGATAGGATCTTGGACCGGGAGCTCGGATCCCGCTGCTGGCCATATCGAGAGAGACGGCATCGAAACAACACAGGAGATACTGCTCGTTGATGCTGAGACGCTTCTGAACGAGGTCCGCTCACGTAATCTTCTCAAGTATTTGTTGAGCCTTATTCGTTAGAGGTTTTTACTTTCAGCGCGCGGTACAGGGTATCTGCGACACGGAATGAGGTGTGGTTTCAATGCTCCGGATTACATCTGGAGGGTAACGGAAGATCCTTGGTGGTTTGCAGAGCTGTGGCCATTCTCGTACATAAGGTATTCCAGCGAGCCATTCCGACGAATCTGCCCAACCAGGGGAGGCCGGCAAAGCGCACTCTATCGCTTTCTTTCGCGGATACTGTCTGGGTTTCGGTCAGTGCCCGTACTTTTGCCAGACCCCGCTAGGTAGCCAGCGAGGTCAAAGTTCTCCGCTGCAGACCCAGCACCTCCACCCTGCATGGCTCGCGTCAGACCACCCATGGGACTCTTTTTCTGCATCTCTTCATACTCGGCGCGCATTTCGGGATCCATGTTCTCCATCAACTTGGGCATCCCGAACGTAAAAGCAAGAGCCACGACCGCCATGAGGATCATTGGATTCTTCAAAAGACTCAAGGGATTGAAACCCTGGCGCTGTTCGTAAAAGTTCTTCTTCGATAGAATTTTGGCCGACATGTCCAATTGCCCTGTAGGTGCGGCCACCAGGGCAACTCCTCGATCGTCCCATCGTGTTCCGCGGTATGTTTCCCAAGCTCCTGCAACCACGGTACCGTCAGAGTCGGATGAGGGGGATATATCGATTCTGTAGGGTGCGAAGACGTAGTCGTGACTGTAGATGTCGAGGAGATGTGACCCGGAAGTGGAGATTTCGGGAAATTCAAAGTAGTTGCCCTTTCGCAGGACAGCCCTGATCGGTGGTCCAGAGCCTGACGTTAAGACAGCATGCGTCGAAGCTGGCAGGACATTGGGGTTTGGGAGAATATTCGAGGGTGTGACCGTAACACGGAGCGATGCGGCTAGCACAGGGCTGAGAATATAGCAGAGGGCCACTAATGGCAACATCGTGAGAGTCCGGGAATCTCTTGTGCGGTAGCAAAGGTCAACTGGTTAGTTGGTTAGTTAGTTGCCGTCAAACAAAAGACTCGATTGAGTTGAATGGAACAGAAATGAAGCGCAGACTTGTTGAGCGGCGGAAAGGGAAAGGTTCACATGCCGCTTTAAGTGATGGACGGAGCATATTAAAACAGCCACTACCACGTCCTGTATATGGATGCAATAGGAGGGAAGATCCTCAATACCCTACTGTAGACGCACCATGCATCGCACTCAAAG